GGCTTAGAAAAACTGACCCGTTTTGGAACCTGTCCAACACATTGTATAATAACTGTACCGTATCTGCAAGTCTTAGTCAGCCCAAATTCTGAATTGATTTCACTGGGACTTTTGCCTGAATAAAAACTGGTAAGAATTATGAGCTAGTTTCTGCTCTCAGTTACAGCAAAAGAAAGCTGATGTAACTTTTCTGGATTTACACTGGTGTAACAGAGCAGAACATAATTCTGAGTAGGATTTTGTGCACAGAATTTTGAGGAGACAGAATAGGAAAGAGAGAGAATAATTTCAAAATTCTGTACGCTCTGAGCTGCTTAAAAATTGGTGTTACAGAAAGAAACATTTCCATCTGATAGGCCAAATGCAGCACCATTCACAGGGGGCCCAGTGAGTTGTGCGCACATGAGGGCAGACTTTGGCCAATATCATGTATACGCTGGGTGGTGTAGTTTCAGCTCTCTGCATCATGACTGTTGTTTGGTTCTCTCACAGGCTTCACCCTGCAGCCAGGCTACTTCCTGTGTAGTTTTAGCATATGCTCGATTCATAAGAACTTACACAGCACAGACAAAATTAAACAAACACGTGACCTCATTTGGCACAGACTCACCTGTCACAGACAGGTTTGCTGGCTCACTCACCTGAAACACCACTCTGACAAGATTCCTTTCAGGAAGTGGGAAAATCTCTGAGGAGTGCCCCAGTTGTTTTCCATCCCATGTATGATCCTTCACTGATGCACTGGTATCTGTGGTGATGTTGTTTCTTCTCACCCACTTGAACAGAAACTTGTGCCATGCAAATTGATGTCCCTCCCCATCCCACGTACCATGGTCATCCCCTCCATTATTTCATTGTAGGATAAAGCCAACATTTTCAAATGTGGGTGCCTAAAGTTAGGTTCCTACTTCCATATATGGGCACCTTCAGTGGAAGCTCCTGGGCGCTCAGTGCTTTTTAAAATCAAGCCACTTAATATTGGTGCATAAATGTGCATTTCAGGGTACATCTACAGAGCCACCAGCAGCGAGCCTCTAAGCCTGGGTCAACAGATTTGGAATCACCCTACAGATAGCTGTGTAGCAGCACTTTGAAGTTGTGGCCTTCAGAATCGGAGTTCCAGACCAAACTGCCATGCTTACATAGCTATTGTTAGCAGAGTGGCATGAGCCCTGCAAGCACAAGTTTGTTGATCCAGGCTCGGGCCAAATTCTGATCTCGATAAATCTATGTGTTTTCCATTGACTCAATTTGTCCCGGTGTCGATGAATGCTAATTATGGCCCAGGGGCATTTAGTCTTATTGAGATAACAAAGAACAGACCCCCCTAATAACAATTTGCTCACTACAAATTTGACTTCTGGGTCCTTACCGTATATACTCTGAATTAAATGCAACTCATTATGGGTTAAATTCACCTCTGTGCAAAGAACCAGCACAAAGTCTATGCACCATGTAAGCATTTGCAGAGGTGTGAATTTCACCCAGTTACTTTATTGGCATGATGCATTCAAGCCTCAAGATTTTTCTTAATTTTTTTCTTCCTTAAAAGCTGACTGCACAGTATTTCAATTTCTCATCTTCAAGACAAAGCTATATCTGTGAGCTAAAAAACCAAGGATGCTCACTCTAAATGATATAGAATTTTATTTATTGAATTCCTGAGTAAAAATAAAAAGCATCAAGAAATATTCCAGTACAAAGCCGTCTACATCCCCATAAATGTACAGACTTGAATATTCAAAAAAGCTTTATTCCTCTGTGAAAGTTAAGTTGAACTTGGTGCAAATCCACTGTGCAATTCTTTGGCAGTTATGACCAAAAGATATTTCTGAAGAAGTTACAGTAAGTTTCATTGAGCATTATTAAAACTATAGTGCAAGTTCAATTTTAAAACAAAATCAAGCAAAGTCACGTATTGCAGCTTTACAACTCCAGCATTTTACAAAGCTGGAAACTCTTTTTATGCAATACATGTCAG